TATGTTAGTAAGCTCATAGTAGTAAGCGGTTCGTGTCGGATAGTAGGTACTACTAGTAGGATAACAGTACACAGACACATCTAGCCAAGTGGATCATTGTACACAGGTATACCTATAAACTAAAGCCGGGCAATTAGGTCGGGTTGCGATTGAATGCGACGCGACGCGACGCGACGCACTGCAACTCACTGCGACTGAGTGCTTAGGTCGACGGCGACGCGACTGACAGCGACTGGCTGCGACCAGTCGCAGGCAGTCGCAGAAGGCGCTTAAAGCCCAACGCACACACCCGAGCAAAACACCGGAACGTGGAGCAAAACATGTTTCGCTCGATGTTCGTGGCTGTGTGCGGATTCCCGAAACAAGAAACATTGCTCAGCTGAGCGTGTTTCACTGAACAAGCAATGTTTGATTCACGGAGCGTGTTTTCGCCTGAGCGTACGTTTTGCTCGGAGTGTGTGCGTCAATTGTTCTGCTACACAGCGAAACGCACAGACGGTCTCCAATCAATATCCTTAAAAATACACATGACACACAAAATGGATGTTCATTGTATGGCTATTTTTTGATGTCATGTGACAGCGGCGCTGTACGCAGTGTTTCTGACATGTTTTTCTCAGCTGTGTGCTGTGTCGGGTGCGTGTGTGCGCTTGCTCGCGAGCAGAACGCGAAACGCTGGAAAACAAAATTTCATGTTTCGCTCGGGTATGGTGCGTTTGTGCTTAAGCGCTAGCGCACACAACCGAGCAAAACACCTGACGTGGAGCAAAACCGTGTTTCGCTCGATGTTCGTGCTGTGTGCGGAATTCCGCGAAACAAAAAAACATTGCTCAGCTGAGCGTGTTCAGCTGAACAAGCAATTGTTTGATTTGCCGAACGTGTTTTCGCCTGAGCGTACGTTTTGCTCGGTGTGTGACGTCAATCGTTCTGCTACACAGCGAAAAGCCACAGACGGTCTCCATCAATATCCTTAAAAATATCACATGACACACAAATTGGATGTCGATTGTATGGCTATTTTGATGTCATGTGACAGCGGCCTGTACGCAGTGTTTCTGTATGTTTTGCTCAGCTGTGGGCCCGTGTCGGTGCGTGTGTGCGCTTGCTCGCCGAGCAGAACGCGAAACGCTGAAAACAAAATTTCCCGTTTTGCTCGGGTGTGCGCGCTAGGCTTTAGATCGAAGCGACGATCGCCTATTGATCGCGCAACTAAATGAGTTTACATGACTTGTTGCTGTGTGCATGTTGTGTACATGACTGTATGCACTGATTGTTTTATTCGCGTGCATTATTCATTAATAAAATTATGCATACGTATCTCGTCAGCGATCGCAAGGCTGCGTTTAAGTTTACACTATATACTGCCATGCACTGCCATGTTCAAATTATCGTACGCCATGCATCTTGCACTTTGTTCATTCATTGCTCCTTAGAAAGATATATATATATCAGCTATTCCACCATGACTCGCGTGACATTTCTACAAAAATCCAACTTTTTGAAGATGGCAGTCCTATATTGGCTTGCTGCTACTTGTTTTAAAATACTATTTTAGCAAAGGTGCCAGTTATGCATATTTTAGCATTGAAGTAATTGCAGCCACACTAATATTTTCTCAGATATCACGAACTATTGTGCGTGACTATGTTTTGAAGTATACTTCACACTTTATAGACTTTTTGTAGAATACTATATTTAAGGTTTATCTGCGTTATACCTAGTGAACTAGGTACCCAAATACCCTTACGCATAGCGTATGCACCATTCTTCCTATACAAAGCTGAGACTTACAATATTTCCCCTGTTTTCACAATGAATCATATGGTAGTAACTAAATATTAACTTTTCTTCATGGATTCAAGCATTTCAAGTTATCAAAACTCTTGATTACCTAACATTTGTATCTATGAGCTATATTTTGTCACGAAGTCAACTACTTGGAGGGATGTTGCTCACTTGAAGAAAGGTTTTCTAGCACGTGAAAATGATGTATGAGTGATGAAGTATTGGGTACCTAGTTCACCAGGTATACATTCTTGGTATCAAACTTGTAATATTTACAAAATCTCTTAGGTGTGAGTAACTTCAAAACACTGTTAGTAGCGCGTCACGCAAGTCACGCAGAATAGTTTGTGATAATCCTATTTTTATGTGGTTTTATGTTCGAAATAGTTTTACATGGTCAGTGCTTACTTCGCCAAATTGAAGTATTTATTTAAAAAGTGCAGGCAAGTTGACTCGCGTGACAGCCCAAAATGTGACTCGCGTGACTTATGTGAGTAGTAGTTTTTTTCTTGCAGGCATTGAGAATAAATCAAAAGGGGGGGGGGGATAATCCGAAAAAGAGGCTTGGATGTCCGAAGCTGGGTCAAAGGTCAAAGTTCAAGGTGTAAAAGAAGGGAACATTCCCTCAACTTAGGTATAGGGAGGAAATGCAGACTTGAGCACAATCTAAACGGCTCGGAACTATAGGTCGTGATAATGTCGGTGTATTAGCATCATGGTAGGAAACAGCCATCACTGTGCGAAATGAGTCAACATGGCTCACAGTCGTCATGGGCACAGGGCAGCATTTTAGAGATGTTCTCTGAGGACATGCTACGGACGACCGCAGCTTGAAAAACTTTTTCTTATATTATAGACCCCTTCACATCCTTTATGGCTTTACTCTGCCACCTCACACACTACGCCATATCGATTTCCGCGACCATGCGAAGATAACTCGCTCGTAACGCCTTTTTCACCCTCCCACCCACACCACACGCACAATGGTTAAACACACAACCATCAAACCGGATTCTAGTCTTCACTGGTTCACCGCTATATGACTCCGACGAGTTGCGCCTCAGCTACACCGCGAGTACATGCAACTGGCAAATATTCGTACCAGTCCACCCAGGTGAACATTTCAACAGACTAAATTTGGTCTATACAGTTACCAAGGGCAATCCACACCCTTAAACAATCACACTCATTTCTGATTGCATTCTGGTACCTGCTCTGTGTGTTACATGTAACCTTATCCACCCCCACCTTCCAACCTCACGCCAACACATGACACCACACACAAGTCAGTGTGGCTGAACACAACTACAACGTAAGCTGTGCTAATTTTTGCCTCCCGCGTTAATTGTACTACCAGGTCGTCACTCTCTCCTAACTCTCACACAACCCTAACTCACGGCGCACTGTAGGTAAATGGATGACATGTCCTTACCTACTCTCTGCTCTGCAAATAGTCTGCTATGCTCACCACGTCACGAATTGGAGCTTCCAATCTTTAGTCCTTTAAACACACTTAAACGTACCGCCATCCTCGTGCAAACTTTCACTCAAAGCGACCTCCCAACCAAGAACATTCCCTATAGCCAAAAGGCTTCCTGCATCACCCATCCTCGATGCTCTCCACTCGTCACTTCGCGCCATTATTGTGAAGGAAACCCCCAGAACACCAACAACCCCCCCCCGCACCCGCCCGCCCCGCCCGACAACCCGCATCTCGCGAACCGCCACACAGGGTTTACCCCTAGAATCACACCACCGCCACTCAACCCACAACACTCACCGCCAACAACCATCCGAACCACTCACACACCGCTGGCCCCCTCCCGCTCCTGCTACCCCTTGTTTTCTCACCCACACCTTAGAAACCTCCTCCACTATCTTCTTTCACATGACTCGCCGTGACCCACCCATTTCTGCCCAGGAATGATTATCATCCCCCCATCCTCATCACATACAGGACACACTCTCACATGAACGACATTCGAGCAATAGAGCCGCCCAGCCCCACGCTAATTTTTTTTACTACACATGAACACTCTCTTCGGCTACACTAATAAACAAGCTGGCTTATTCATAACTGAACTTTCAACCACCCACCTAATCGGACAAAAAAATTCTCGATTCTAGACAAGCAGCACTCTTTTAACGCAACCCCCCCCTACGCTTGTGGGCCATCCATCTCACCACATCCACCAACACTCACCCTGTCATCACCGACTCTCACACCAGTTCACCCCCCCCACCCCACAATTCACACCGAGCTAAGTCATTCTCTTAGATAAAGCGGCGGCCATCGTTCTCACACTACACACACTCTCCCTTGGAATATTAACACCATTCTCATCTACTTTCTCCCTAATAAAAACAAAAGAATTCATCCCCCGTCACTAATACGCTCCTCAAACTCTCCAGTTTTTTACCCACTCTTGACACTCACTCACTCACCACTCACCACTATCGCGCCTGATCATATACTCCGTAACCTGATCATACTCTTGATCATACCTACCTATTCATATACTACTACTCACCACTCTAGTTACTTATACAAGATATCGGTATTCGACGTAAGAAGTAACGCCATCATGTTCCTGAACTCCATATGTTCTGCGCTGAGGTCAATCTGTCGGCAAGTCTAACTATATACACCCGTACAAGTTCACCGCGCCGCGCCCGCATTTACAGTGTTTTCCTTAATTTTATCACAACGGCTTGCCTTGGCTCCCGCAGAAGCTACCGCTTCCATCCATGCACTCATGAAAATGTTTCATTCGTTGACTCAGCACCGTAATTTACACAGTGCCATATTTCTTCTACTTTGTCTCCCCTGAACATTGGCTGATCTGACATACTTTCAGATTTTTAACTGCCTCATTTTACTTACTTATCTTTCAAACTTTAGGGATGTACATTCTAACTTGATTTTACAACGATTAAATAAAACCTCTTAGAATTGCACATGCAGCTACATTAATTTATTCAAGTGTGTAACCCAACCGATCTTGAGTTCGCAGTCAAACAGAGTAGCCGGCCAATAGCGTGATTCAGACCAGGCTGGACGCACTTTACATAGCCGTTTCTAACCAAAACTGTTTTCTTTGTTCGTCATGTATACCCCGCCCCAGGCCGGCTTAGCATCCTTGCTGTTAAGGGACGAAGTGTCGCTACGATGGCCTCCCGTGCGATGAACGTACTCACCGTAAACTCGGCTACTGCACTCCGGTTTGGTCATACCGCGCGGACGTTTCTTACACATTAAAGAAGTAAGTTAAACATCTCTGCCACCCAGACTTGAATCTCATCTAATCCATACCATATAAAGTCAGTGCTTCTCCTGGCCAAAAAGGTCTCTGAGGTGGGAAAATTTTTTTGGTGTGTTTGTGTGTTTTGAGGTCCTAGCAAAGCGAGCACCGCAGAAATTTTTGAAAAAATGGTGCAATTTTGTGCATTCTATTTCTAATCTATATTTCGATTGTAGTTCAATAAAGTGTAGTTGTATCCCCTGCGACGAAGTCGACGGGGATACTATGGTTTCATGTCTCCCCAGCCGCCGCCGCCGACAATTTCTCTTCCGCTCTTTAAATCGACCCCTAATTGACCTAGCGCTACCAAACTTGGTATACTTACACATTTTGGGAAGAAGATGAGCAGCGTACCAAAACCAGCTCACTGCGACCTTTATTTGACCTTTACCTTGACCTTGATCATATTTCCCTTCCACTCTCTAACTCGGCCCCTAATTGACCTAGCGCTACCAAAACCAGGTCACTACGACCTTTATTTGACATTGACCTTGACCTTGACCTTCATCATATTTCCCTTCCGCTCTATAACTCGGCCCCTAATTGACCTAGCGCGACCAAACTTCGTATACTTACACATCTTTGGGAGAACACAGGGAATACATGTAGTTGGCGACAACTGCCCTTTCTAGTTTATTTATGGAAGAACATTGATTTTCGTCAGCGAGGCGGTGTTTTGGACAAATTTCTGTACTGAAAATTTGAGCGAAGCGGCCCGCCTCGCTCATGTCAATTAATGCAGGGGAAACACTGTAAAGTAATGAATCCTATTTAACCTAATATTAATTCGAGCCAAGTTTCTAGGCAGAAATCTCTGTGCCTTAAGGCCTCAAGTAGTAATTTTTGCATTGTTTATATGTAATTAATGTGTCGGTTGTGATGCACTTTAACTGTGTGGAATATTATATATTAACAGTTTGCTGTGCAAAGGCTTGTACGTAGCTGTGTAATGTATCTAATTCATGGGGATATAGTTTTAAAAATAACCACTAGCGTAACTAATTTATATTCGATCTGATTAGACTGAAAAATTCTATATGAAATGATTTTTCCACGCAGATTGGAGTTGTGTGTACAGTTTATGGGGTTATTGCTGTCCACAGAGTGGATAACGCCGTGTGCCGTTACATTGCAGAAGTACAACAATGATTGGTGGATCGGTAGGCTGGTTAAAGAAGGTTGTGATGTGGGATTCATCCCAAGTCCCCTTAAGCTGGAGAACCTGCGGCTGTCACATTCGCAGCCACGATCCACCAAGATATACTCAACCAAAGCAAACTCTTCATCGAATCTCGGAGGCTTAGCTAATGACATTCTAAATTCGAAATCTCCAAGTTCCCGAGGATCGACGCCTCCCACTCCAGGTGGGTGGGTGCATGGCAGCAGACAGGTGGCTGCAAGTGCTAGAATGTGCCCATGCAGTAACAACAAATAATATATATTGAAACAAAACTATTTGTTAACATATTTTACAACGAAAATAGGCAGAAAAGGTTATATAGCATCCTGGAATATTTTTTTCGATCTCCTGGAAACTCAATGATGTTGTATTGAAAATATGTAGTGATTGTGATGATAGCGTTGATGTGTCATCAACGCTAATATGCATTTTTCTTTGTGCAAATGTGTGGCCTTAACCTGTGTAGAAAATCCCAGGCTGGATAAATGAAGATTTATTTTACCATTTTTTCCCCTACTCAACCAATGTAGACAAACTCCAAATCCCAATGTCTAACGGTAGACAGAGTTAGTATATATTACATATTCCTGTAGTATACCAGAGTTTAGTGAATGGCAGAAGTATTGATGTGGCTTTATTATTTTCTCAAATCAAGCTGTTGGAAAACTAGTATTGTGAGGCAATATCTTTTCTCACTAAGTGCAGTGTTCAACTGTTGCTGTTGTTGTTAGATGCCAGCTAGGACAAGGTGCAATGGAGGTCAATTAGTAATCAATGTACTAACTAACAGGCGTAGTAGCGGACAATGAATCAGCTAGGAGTAGTGATGCAAATCAATAATTGAGGGTATATAATTATGCTACTACTGTAGGCCACAATGGCAATGTCAGTGTGTATGTGGAACATCTATCTCCCTAGCAGAACACTCAGTACGTGCAACTATAGACATTTGTTCCAGTCAGTTACCATCGCACAAAGGTGGTACGTTAACGGTATTATTATAGACTAATACTATCAATATTAACAGGCATGGACTCTGACCAAAATGGCACGGACACCATGGGTGGAATGGGAGGAGACGATAGCGACAGTCTTGGAAACTCCAAGGGAAACATAACCAAGGGAAATATCACACCTGCCAAAGAGAAGCGGAAACCTTTCTTCAAGAAGGTGAGAGGAAGGATTATTTATAGTCCAAGCATCTGCATATAGCTATGTTGAACATCTATAGCTATTTATCTGTATTCACGAAATATTTAAAGTTAAAGTGTGTGTGCAGGTGTGTGCTGCATCATTGCCTTTGCTAATAATAATAAATGGAGTTCATACAGAATTGTGTACAGTAGTGCAGTGTTAGCATGAACGCTATGTATATTGATTATAATGACATTACAAGTATACATTAGGTTCATGCTATTAGTGCAAGGCTGGCCTCGATCAGTCCACTTGACCATGTGTATTAAGGAGGATTATTGGACATTACACACAAACCGCAGTCATTTGTCAACCAAAGATGTTGCCTAAAAGTGTTTAAGCATTACCCGTTGACCCATTGGTTCTTAGTTCAACTAGCGCTCGTAGGGTCTATGTCCCCCCTAACCTCTGTTTCACCTGGCTCGTTTAGCTATTTCTGACTAACCCTAACCCTAACCCTAACCCTATAT